CCATATCACTAAAGCTTTTACCCCTCCTACGGTTCTAAAACGCCTTTTCCTCGAGCACTTTTCTTCTCACTCCCGCTCCATTTCTGTCTTCACCGATGCGTCTAAGTCAGCGGACGGTGTTGGCTACTCTGTTGTTTTTCCTGATCGCACTTATATGTGTCGCTTGCCTCCGGAGACTAGCATCTTTACAGCGGAACTTTATGCTATTCTCTATGCTCTTCGTCTCCTGCTTTCTCGTTGTCAGTCTTCCTTTGTAGTTGTTGTTGACTCTCGTAGTTCCCTCATGGCTCTCGGGTCCTTTAATCCGGTTCATCCAGTAGTTGTCGAGATCCAACATTGGCTGTTTCTTGTTCACAGTAAATTTAAGTCGGTTGAGTTTTGTTGGGTTCCCAACCATATTGGTGTGTCTTTAAATGAGCGTGCGGATGCTGCCGCCAAGGAAGCTGTCCGCTCTTGTCCCATCTCTCGTAAAGGCATTCCGTATTCCGACTTTTACCCGGTTATCCATTCCTCAGTCCTTACCCGTTGGCAGGCTTCTTGGTTGTCTATTACTAGTAACAAGCTACGTACTCTTAAATGTTGTGTTTCCTCATGGCCGTCCTCCTTCCACCGTAACCGGCGGTGGGAAACAGCTCTGGCGAGGTTGCGTATTGGCCATACTCGCTTAACCCATGGTCACTTGATGGAGCGCCGCTCTGCTCCTTATTGTCCTAGTTGCATTGTCCCTCTTACGGTCGTGCATGTCCTTCTTGAATGTCCTGACTTCCAGGACGAGCGTGTGTCTTGCTTTCCGACCGCCCCTCGCGGTCACCTGTCCCTCGATAGAATTCTTGGTGACTCGGATACTTTTGATATCGTTCGCCTTATGCGTTTTTGTTCTCGTATTTTCATCCTTGGTGATATTTAGCGCCCTCTGATTATTTTGCGCATTTGATGGTGCTACATAGCCTTCCCGGTTTGGTGCCTTCTTTTGATAATTACTTACTTACTCAGTCTGGGGCACAGCCTCGAGGACTGGGGGTACTAGACCACACACCACTGGAGACACGACTGGAGATGGGGCAGGCAGTGGTGGCTGAGGCGGGGAAGCTGGGGTCGCATTATCACCTCGACACCCACACAGCCAACCACATTTAGGTGGTCATCAGAGACCGGCAACTGGGCACCAGAGGACTGGGAAGCATCACTCAGCACCCGGAGACAGGTCAGGGAACGCCAACAGGGAAAAGTCCCCCTCCCTGAAGAGGTTCACAGGACCAACCCAGCTCACATGACAACCTGCAGTCTGGTGGCCTGATTGTCCATGCCAGAAACAAGTGCGGCTCTGACCTGCACAGAATACTCGCACCGTAATGGCCAGAAGCAAGAGAGATGAAGAGATGGGTCGTTCAGTCACAACGCCTCAGTGCGGGTCCCATTCAAGATATCCTTCCACCGCCCGGAGGAAACAGTATTCACCCGGACACTGAAAACCCGCACATACCGGGTAAAGTGACGCCGAAGGGAGTCTGGGAACTCAAAGGAAGCACAATGAACTGCCACGTAGGTAATCTCACTGCACCTGTCCGACACTATCCAGCAAACCATCACCTTCAGGCAGAGTGAGGATCCTCCCATCATAGCAGTCCACAATGTTACGATACACAGCTGTGGAGCTGAATTTCACAACAGCTCGATGCCCAGACACAAGTTGAACGCCGCACACAGACGCCACAATCACCCTCAACATATCAATCATGACCATCTCACATGCTGGGTAAGACGCTGGTTCAGTAAACTCCAGGCCAATGGTATCTCTCCGCTTAGAAGGACGGCTGCCTTCTACTCAGCCGTCCTTTGTTTCACCGCCTCCTGTGGTGTCGGCCCCTGCACCATCACCCTCTGTGATTGTGTTCCCTGCGACTCTGCCCGCTATGTTGCCGCTCTATATCCGGCCGACTCCTGTGCTCCAATCCCATGTAGTTCCATCGGCTGCACTGAAGAGCTCTGTGCGGCCTCTTCCCGTGCCTTCCGCCCCCGTGGTGGAGGGCGCTGCCCTGGATGTTCCTGACTTTATGCATCGACCGCGAGAATCACGTACTCACGTTAACGCGTCTGCGGAGTTGTGGGCTTGGTGGGATGCCTATGGAAAGAAGTACCCTCGACGTTTCTATCTGGATAAATATGATGATTAACTTTGTGTGTGTGGGGCTCTTGTTTTGTGTTGCTTTATTTATTTGTTTTGATGTGCCGTGATCTGGGTTTTTCCTGTGTTTTTTGCCTGGTTATGGTTGGGTTATAGTGCGCTAGTACTTTTTCTTCTCTGTATTTCATTGTTACCTGTGTTTGTTACTATTTTGTGTTTGGACGACTTTTGTTTGTGTGTTTTCCTGTTCTAATGTTTGTTCATGTGTTTCTTGCCTTATAAATGTGCATGTTGATATTTTTGTTTGATGTATTTGTTTCTACCAAATTAAAAGAATAAAAAATAAGGATGAGGGTAAGGTGCAAATACGTTAAAAAGCTAGGAACATTTTAGTTGGAGATTAAAATTAGCGACATTGACCGAGAAATTTGTAACAATGACAGGATGTTGTGTTTCCCATGGGGCTGGTGGTATCGTTACGAGTTAACGAGAACAATCCAATTATTTGCTTAATTAATTGCAGGGGTTTTGTGCCAAAATATATCCTATATCATATAGGATAAGATCCTATGTTCCATCTTCTGGAACAATAGTTTCGTTAACATTGTTCAAGTTCATGTTGTTACTTGAACTTGAAGAATTTTAATGGAAATATTCAGACAGAAGTTGCAGGCGTTAGTTTCTTTGCTTCAATGTCGGTCAAGCAAGACTGGTTGAAACTGGTTTATGACCAGAATTTCACTGCTATTTTACCTACTTGTTTATGCCGAGTCTATTATAGCATTTTCAAAGTTTGCTTTAGAATACAGGAGATTAAAGTTGACATATCTCGGCAAATGGTTTATAATAGAAATTTTGCATTAAAAATTACAATTTACAAATAAGCAAAATAAAATTAAAATGCAGCTCTTTGTAACACATTCTGTAATTATTTAACATGCAAAACTTCAGCATTTATGTTAATTACGGCAACTTCTTATATTTTCAGAGGAAAAAATACTATGCTAAATTTTTTTTTATTGCCATAAATTTAGGTTTAAATGTTCACCACAAACGGTAAGGTCCTACAATATTGTATTAACCGAGCATTAAACACAGAATTGACAAAAATAATTCATAATATACTCCAAGCTGTGTGGACCTCCAGTGGCAGAGGGAGATTTTACACGGATAATGAACAGCATCTTTAATACCTCTCAGTTCATCTGTGTATAATTTCATTTGTAGGTAAAGTCTAAATTATTGGCCACAAGTCACTGAAGTAGTCTTCATAAATCCCCTGTAGTCTTATTACGTCAGAAATGGATATCTCTAATATTCCTCTTAAAATTGTTAAATGGTGCACTCGGCATGGGTATTGGCTCCAAATTAATGCTTCTCTATCAGCACTATAAACCCTCCATTTTATTTACAATTTCACATTCGAAAAATATCCATGAAGCATTTTACCTCTTTTCCCAACCATATTAAAAAAAACGAAAGACTCGGTATAATACAGTCAAAGTAATATCACAAAATTACATTTAAAAAATACAACAAAAGCAATTAAAGTCAGAGGAAGTTTAGAAAGTTTTCGTTGTCCAGGGAATTATCCAAATCGACTCGCATTACATAGTTTAATTCCATTACTCCTTGTCCCTCGAGATCTAGATTTAAAAGTTCATACGCGGAAATTTCTTTCAGATTCCGCCGCAAGAAAACAACATCGTGTTCTTAGGAACAGAATTAAGAAGTTAGCTGCAGAAAACCTGTTGTCCCATGTGAGTAAAATAATTATCAACTGGAACCACCAAGCGGGGAAGACTGTAGCAGTGACTATGTCGCGGGATATTCTAAAAGTGCCAAGTATAAAGTTAAGGTGTGTGTATATCACGAAAATAAACACGTGATTAAAAATGTGACAGTGTCAGACCAAGGAGGAAAATTGAAACAGGAATTTCCTTAAGGAAATTCCTGTTTCAATTTTCCTCCTTGGTCTGACACTGTCATAAATTTAAGATGTGAATACGAGAAAAAAAACGAGAGCAAGCTATTAATACCCAACTAACCTCTTGTAGATGTCCAATTACCCGTCAGCCTGACAGGTAAGTGGACAACCTCCTGCGGAGGCGGAAACAATTTGGCAGTTTCTTTCACCCTGATACCTCTGCTCACCTAGCAGTAAATAGGTATCTACGAGTGCGACAGCTACTATGGGGTTGCTTCCTGGGGATGCGTAACAAAACGGAGGCCTGGTCGAGGACCGGGCCGCGGGTACGTTAAGCCCCGAAATAATCTCAAGATATCCTATTACTATAATCTAGAGTCGTCACAATTATGTAACATAGTTCCCTTTCCCATACAAATGTTTACCCAGGACTTTTCCGTGTTCTGCTTGTATTGTTTTTTCCACAATATTCCATTTGTTATATCCGTATATCATTGCTAAATTCTAGGGCAGTATTTCTCACCGCAGTGCGTACCTGTGCTGCAGTGGAGAGTAGCGCAGGGAGTATCCTAATAGAGAAGTTTTCAGTAGTCATAAGCTTTTAATGGTAAACTAGTTCCCTTAACCCTCTACAATTAAAAACATTTTGTAGATTTCATCTTGCATATGCAAGAAGGATCAGCTGCGCCTTCTCTTTAACATGCTTTCCAACTTAAGTACCCAACCGAATGAAGGGGGGGGGAGGCGAGGTTCTTCAGGTGGGTTTTAGGGATCCATACCCGACACAAGAACCAGTGTACAACTCTGCTTGTAAGGCATTCTGTTCTACTAGTTATCTACAGCACCGACTAGAAATCCGGCCGAGATCGCCACTGTAAGGTTTATCTCGTATTGTGGACAAATTCTCTTGATATGGTCTAGTTGTATTACTAAAATGTTTTATATGTTTTTCATTTTATTACATACAATAAACAGGCAAATAATAATAATTTGCTACAAAACAATACAGATCTAGCACTCGTGCCACATCCATTTAACCCAGGAAATGGACCAGTGCCACTTCTTTAGGTGCTGAATAGATAGAAGCCGGTGAAAGTCGTGTAGGCTTCATTGCCGGGGTGCTCGTAGATGGCTCCCTCCTGCAGCTCCAGAGCGATCCTATCAAAACTACGCAATTCCAGAAAGACAGAATTGGAGCCATGTTCGTATGTGATCAACTTGCCGTAGGCGGTCACTACATAGACGCCATTCTTCATCAGTGCCAGTCTGTGTAGAGGGTAAACGCAAAGTAATGAATTAGACTTGATAGAAAAATCTACCCGAATAGCAAATTTTACATAGTAGTTTAAACATTTCGCACAAGTGCTCAATTACAACCAGAGCAGAGTAATTTAATAGCTTGGGAAAGTAACTCACGTGAAGTCGCTGGTCCTGGCGCCTATTGCGTGGAAGACAAAGTGATATCCTCCGTTGTGTGGAGCAACAAATTCACTAGAAGCGGGGTTCCAGCCGTCGCCTATATTGGTTAACACGTCCTGAATAATTTGAAAGCAATTGTAATAATTACAGGGACACTTTTTTTACACACAAAAAGAATTCATCTCGATACGGTACATACATCACATCTGTAGGCAAGTCTTTATATTACAAAAACAGTATTTTATTTATGAACTTAATAAAATCTTTAAACTTACTGAAGGCGAGTATCAAATAATTTTTTATGTCACCCGATGATTTAGTCATTAAGTAGCTCAAGTAAATTGATTGATATTAAATTACTCTATGCAGTTTTAAAGAAAATTCCTAATTATTTAAATTTCTAATGTAAACCGCTGCCAGCCTCAAGAGTTTACAAGTCAGCCGCTTAATTGACAAACTAAGTGAAACATTGGCTTCTGATACATTAGTAATTTAGCCAATAAGTTTTAAATTTATAGCGACAATTTAAAAAAAATTTTGTTACAAAAATACACACAGTTTTGAAACCAGTGTTGGTCTTATGTTTTCCAAAGTCTTAACAGACATCCTGTATTATTAATCTGCAGTCAATTATGACGTATTCAAGTTTTCATTAATGTTTACAATTTGTTTCAGCCAACCAATCTATTAGGATAAAGCGTCTGTCCAGGGTTGGCTGCCACACACTAATATCAACACAGTTCACGAAAATTTTCCCAGTCAAAATTTTTAGCAGATTTTTCATATTAATTTGTACAATTAAAAAATAAACCCACACTGACTGCACAATATATGCAGTCTAAGTGTTTCAGTAGAACTGAGTAAACTAATCAGACCTTAAAATTAAGCACATTTAAAGTTCATCAAACTAATCCTAGGTAATAGAATACAGTTGTGCATAGAAAAGGTGAATTAAAGCTTGACAGCATTCATTCTTACCCGAAAGTGAAGGCGAGTGACTGCACTGAGGCGGCCGATGGCTTTCCTCACACTGAAGGCCACGTTCCGACTACAATATAGTAGAGACAGTTTATGGTACACCATCATTCAGTTAGTATCTTAGATTTTTGCTTAATAGGGACATAGAAATCAGGGTTTTTGCAATATATAAACGTACGTTTAGGTATAACTACTTTGACTAATTGCATTTCTACAAAGATATAAGAATAATTCCTATTTATTCCACTATTATTCTCCTATTTATGCGCGTATTGAGAATTTGTGACTTAATATTCATAACATGCATCGACGTTAATATATATGCCACTTTATTTATTAGCGAGCGGCTCATTCACCAATTTTGCCGTGATGTGAATTAGGTCCACGTAGGAATTTTGCGGTAAAACATGTTTAGACAATTATTACTTTTACATTCACTGTATTAGTAAATTTATATCCTGTATAGGTTGTGTAGTGTTCTCCATGGCTAAGATTGGCAGATCTTACTATGTGACTATTCAATAACATATTTGTGTCGGGAGCCGAGGAGAGGAGTCTTGCATTTTTGTTGCATTGCAAAGTATGGCCACGAGTATGCATTCTCTACCTTGCCTTTGGCCATATTATTGCGTTAAATAAATATTTTATCCAGCTGCCCATGAATCAGGCAATTAGCATTTTACTTCACAACATGGTAAATTAATGAAAATTCAAGGGTACCGAGAACTACCTTATGTAAGCATGCATTTATCTTCAAGTAAATCTTTCTGTGACGAGTTCAGCACGTATGTAAACCGTAAATCAGAAACACCAGATTATCCTATTGTTGTCCAGTTGAATCAGTTTACAAGTGCAACATCAAATTCATTTATGATTGTTAGCGATAGGCGTTGGGGAACCAGTAAAGAAAATCTTACCCTTTGCATATATGTACTGAACGGAGCGAGAGTAGGTTGAGCTGTCTCTTATCTTTCTGTCCATTTATACACCATAAGCTTATTTCAATTTCAATCTGGCTTTAATAATTGCTGCTCAGAGCCACAAGTTGTTAAGCGCCACGAGACTCCTACAGCTGAAGACACATTGATAAAAATTATAGCTTTTGAGACCATATATGCGGCGTATATGCATGACATCACTTGTATGCTATTTTTATAAGTAACTAAAAATATTTAAAACTACCCCTGATAAAGATGTTAAAAGCATTAGTTTAGTAAAATTATATATTTTTTAGTTTTGTTCGATATACATTGTCCACAAAGTAATTAGATTGGGAATAGTAATACGAATCGACATATATGAACAAATCACGTTGAACAATAAATATATTGCTCCTTCCAGTGGCAAGTTAATTAACCTAAGTCTGCACAAAATCATGAACCTTGGACAATTGTGTAGAACTTTATTTTGACGAGGACCTTAAATTAAGACAAGTTCCCTCAACGAAGCTTCGGACGACATGGCCGCAGGTTACTGTCAAGGCACAAACAGCAACCTGCAAACAGTTCACTCGAAAATGGTAGTTACTAGAGATACTGTGAGTAAAAGTACAATGCATTGACCGATTCGCTCCAGAGAGAACATATTTTGTATTATCTTCTGTAGAGGTACCGATACCAAGGCATAAACAATCTCTCTTTTCCTAAACCCAGTATAATATGTATGCGCTAAATTGGCGCTTATATATTGTTTGTTTGTTCTATGATGGTATATTTTTGCCTTTCATAGGTTTATGGTTACTCCTTTTTTTTTTTTATTACTTTACAATATCATTAACTCCCATTCGGTTCAACAATAAATGTTTTGGGCATTCCATCCATATTAGCCGTATGTTTTGTACATTTTGAAGGTGGGTTGTAGGCTAAAACCAAAATCCGTGCTTATGTTATTTATTGCATAAGTAAATTGTAAAAGGTTCAATTCATAACAGTTATAACAGTTTAAGTGTCGATCAAACAAAAACGCAAAATAGCACTTAATGGCCGAAGCAAGTATATCCAAGTCATTAAATGCACATCACTACAAAATACAGTACAGTTTAGATATTAAACTAAAAACAAAAAATGAGCAAACCTCAAAAGATAGTCACATACTTACGTTCTCACAGGATAAGGTAAAGCCAAAGGCTCCATCAGACGTCTACCTTCCAGCTCCAAGTCGGGGCCGTCCGTCGTATTGGGAGTAGCAACATTCTGAATCTTCTCATTTCTTACACTCTGTGCCCTAGCGCCAAGTGCCACTAGAGCGAGAATCGCCAGCACCATAATCGAGCACTTCTGCATCTATCTTGAGATAATTGGGCGTCAAGTGATGAAGTTCCATGAAATAACCTCCGTTCTCTGTGGTTTATTAGACAGGTTTGGTTCAATATAGCAGCATGTGCATTATTTGATAATTGAAGAGTTAATGCCACAAGGAATTTTCTAATTTCCTGCTAATTTCCCCTTTTCCCAAAAACCACCTGCCCAGAGTCCCTGCCATAGAGAATAAATTAAATTTAGAAATATTTATAATGTAATTATAAAAACCTTTTTCAAATTAAACATTTCTTTAACAAACACCTAAAAAGTTAATGCTCTGACACATGGAGCTTCAGAAAAATTATATGAGTTTACTGGTGAAGACAGGTTTGCACCCCTCAAAGATTTATCACTATTACACCACACCTACACAACCGCTTGTTACGCTTGTTAGACCAAGAGAACTAGACTGGAACTTAAGTGGAACTTGAGTGGAAGCTCAAGTACTCCCTAATCGCTGATGCTTACAGTCTTGAACCTCCGAATACTCTGTCCAGAACTGTATGCTGAAGTCTACGTCTTTGAATCTGGAGCGACGAAATTGCCCCATAAACCTATAAAAACTAACCAACAGGTTCCAAGCTCGGTACACTACACATCATGTAGTGCTGTTCAGGGATTGGCTTGGAGAATCCCCCCCCCCTATTATCAAGGGTAGTCCAACGTGATTCCATGCTGTCTGGTTAAACAGGAAGCCCGTCCTCCAAACAAAGACCCAAAGTCCCTTCCATGCACCCGCCAAACCCCCTGTTTATGAATAAAAAACTGTTTACACACGACTCAACTGATGACGTTCGAACACTTCCGGAACAAGTGCTTCACTGACGAATTTTGTTCGAACCACAACGCTGTAAATGCTTCACCCACGTACTACAAATACAAATATTCGTCAACAGAACCTAAACACCTAACAACCAAACCAAACCTAACCTATGCCTATATATGCACTATATGCTAATATAATATTTATTTATATTTGAGAGAAATTCCTGTTTTGAATGAACAGCATGTTAAAATTTATGAATGCGTCGGTGGGGTCGACCGCTGGATGTAATGGACTTGAGTTGAGGATGAGTTGGGGGAAATGGTTCGCTTTCATCTTCACATATTGCAATTCTAATCTTCAGATTTATCAATTACTTGAAATGGCCTCTCCTAGTTGTCGTTGTTACATAATATTGGCGACGTCTCTTTAAAGTTGTCAGGCAACATTGTGTCTATCCGTCCGTCTTCCACTATCTGGCTTAATGCTATTTGTAATTATATGTCGAGTACTTTAAAATTAACGTAAACAGTTCACACTGGATCGTAAATCTTATATTATCGAAGCTTTAAGAGATTTAGGTAATAAAATACTTTAGATATTTTAACTAACACTTACTATTGGAAGTGTTTGTTGGACATAATGGTGGTGGTAACATTAAAAGGTAGATAGACGTGTGGTTGTATTGATAACTTTTGGTAACAACAATTTCCCACAATATTCATGCCATTGGCCACTGAAGTAACCAATAATGGTAAACATTATGGGCATACATTAGATTTTTAAATGTGCAGGAATGTTCCTAGTCTGCAAATTGCATACACCGTGACTAAAACTGGCGTTAATCGAAATGGTTTTGGCAGAGATGACTTCAAGATACAGATTGCTCAACAAGCTTTGTGGCAATATCTTATTAATTACATTGTTTCCACCCAAGTTATGGTGTTGGCTTTATATTAAAGTCTATTGACCTGTAACAAATTAAAGAAAAACTTCCTATGTATTTATGTTATGTTTACAGCAAATACACAGGAGCGTATTATAGGCGAAAGCTGAAACTTTTATGGACGTGTAAATTCCTTTCGATACAAATTATTCAAATGCATTGTTCAAACAGGAAGTTGTAGCAAGTACGTGGATGGGCAAAACTTATGCTTTAATATTTAATCGACGCTCTTACTTGCCACAATTTATTCTCTAAAAAAAATCTGCCAAATAATCATGATAAATGCACAAAACCTGGGAGACTTCGGCGCCGTGTTGAGGAACTGTTACGGGCAGCCTGGGCCAGTAACCGGGCTCTTTCAGTTAGCGTGTCTTATAACCTCTTCTTGATCCTTCCCAAAGTCGATGGGAAGTTTACAAGAACTGGCTGTGGCAAGTAGTAGTGCAAGAAATAAAGAGGTGATAATACGCAATTAAACCTAAAATATATATATTATATGTCTAGATATTTCTACACAAATTTACACTGTCGCTTTCACCGAGAACACTCTAATAGATCCCCAATGTTCTTCGTATTCCGGCAAGTCCACTACGTCCAGGTTCACGTCTACACGCAATGGTAATCACCGACGAGTTCACCTTCAACATTGGGCCAGTCCACACACTTTATCGCCACGATGTCTATACCCCACGTCTGCTCCCCAGAAACACGCCGACACGGGTCTCAAATAATCACGGATTGGGGTAGCTAACACTCTTGCAGAAGTTTCTAACAGCACTTCTCAACCGACATACTATTGTCGCAGCTTAACTCTTTTTGGCCAAATCCCGGATACGTCGGTCCATACAACTCTGCATAAATCCAGCAGCTAACGCACTGCTACCTTGTCCTATGACAGGACCATGGCTAGAGTTCAGGACTGCCCAAGGTAAACTGCCCTCCTCACGTCACTTCTGTGAACATAAACGCCATCAGCCAGACAGTATACAGGGTGGCCTTCGGATAACCTTTCCACCAGGTAACAAATTATAATTGCTTGCACAACCTAGCCGGCGTTACACCCCGCCAGAGGTTATCATCGATCTCACCCTCTAACCGAAATATGAAACGGGATCCTTTCACCGACGCCATACCGTCAACAAATGGCGTTGTCTGCGTCTCTGAGTTGGAGTGCTGGTCCATAGATGGCGCCGAAATCGCCACTTCGCACCGCAGCTGCGATGTTTATGCCGTAACAGGAAAACAATTAATTGTTCTTCCATCCAGTTATGCACGTGGACAGTTTTTAACGTTCAAGAACATTGACACATCAATGAACGTCGGAAATTGACACTTTCGAGGAACTGCAATTGACAGTTCGAGAAACTGAAATTGACAGCCCTCAGGAACGCGAACTAGGTGCACCATTATTATATATTTTTTTTTATAACCTCCCCCCCCCCATCATTTCCTGTTAGACCTAATAGTCTTTAGTCTTATGCTGTAGCAGTGGGAGGTTTTGATAGTGCGCCAAAACCTTCATAGGTTTTGATAGTCCAATTAACGTCGGTAAAACTTTACTAGTTTATTTGGCCACTACGTTCCAGCCAGATGGTAATGCAAGGATAATTTAATAGGTTTGCAGTTGCCAAATGGTCTGAACAGTACTAGAACGAATCAACCAGATGGATAGGATATTTAAGGTTTTAAGAGACGTAAGTAAGTAAGTAATTATCAAAAGAAGGCACCAAACCGGGAAGGCTATGTAGCACCATCAAATACGCAAAATAATCAGAGGGCGCTAAATATCACCAAGGATGCCAATACGAGAACAAAAACGCATAAGGCGAACGATATCAAAAGTATCCGAGTCACCAAGAATTCTATCGAGGGACAGGTGACCGCGAGGGGCGATTGGAAAGCAAGACACACGCTCGTCCTGGAAGTCAGGACATTCAAGAAGGACATGCACGACCGTAAGAGGAACAATGCAACTAGGACAATAAGGAGCAGGGCGGCGCTCCATCAAGTGACCATGGGTTAAGTGAGTATGGCCAATACGCAACCTCGCCAGAGCTGTTTATCACCGCCGGTTACGGTGGAAGGAGGACGGCCACGAGGAAACACAACATTTAAGAGTACGTAGCTTGTTACCAGTAACAGACAACCAAGAAGCCTGCCAACGGGTAAGAACTGAGGAATGGATAACTGGGTAAAAGTCGGAATACGGAATGCATTTACGAGAGATGGGACAAGAGCGGACAGCTTCCTTAGCGGCAGCATCCGCACGCTCATTTAAAGACACACCAATATGGCTGGGAACCCAACAAAACTCAACCGACTTAAATTTACTGTGAACGAGAAACAGCCAATGCTGGATCTCGACAACTACTGGATGAACCGGATTAAAGGACCCGAGAGCCATGAGGGCACTACGAGAGTCAACAACAACCACAAAGGAAGACTGACAACGAGAAAGCAGGAGACGAAGAGCATAGAGAATAGCATAAAGTTCTGCTGTAAAGATGCTAGTCTCCGGAGGCAAGCGACACATATAAGTGCGATCAGGAAAAACAACAGAGTAGCCAACACCGTCCGCTGATTTAGACCCATCGGTGAAGACAGAAACGGAGCGGGAGTGAGAAGAAAAGTGCTCGAGGAAAAGGCGTTTTAGAACCGTAGGAGGGGTAAAAGCTTTAGTGATACGGGTCAAGGAAGTACAAAACCGCGGAAGAGGGACCCTCCACGGGGGCAAAGAAGGAACAACACGAGGAGAAACATCAGAAATACGAACGGAGAGAGAATCCTGTAGGCGAGATAACCGGACAGAAAGAGGGAGGTGGTGAAGAGGAACAGGAACCGCAGGAGGGGTAAAAGTTAAAGCACGACAGAGGCGAGAGGAAGGATGTTGCAAGGACTGCGCAAGATAGCGAAGACAGTAGCGATCACGGCGGTCCTGGAGAGACAGGAAGCCAGTGTCAACATACAAGCTAAGGATGGGAGTCGAACGAAAGGCACCAGAACTGAGGCGCAACCCAGTATGGTGCAAAGCATCAAGACGGCGAAGAGTAGAAGGAGAAGCAGACGAGTAAGCAGGGCAACCATAATCGAGCTTAGACAGGACGAGAGAGGAATGTAAAGCAAGGAGAGTGCGCCTATCTGCCCCCCAAGAAGTATGGGACAAGACCCGAAGGAGGGTAAGGGCCTTAGAGCACTCAACACGGAGGTAAGAGATATGGGGAGACCAAGACAAACGAGTGTCAAGGAATAACCCCAAAAGCTTCGCGGAATCTTTGTATTCAAGGGGATGACCATAAAGTGACAAAGAGGGACGAAGAACAACCCGTTTCCGCGTAAAAGTCATGGCACAAGTCTTAGAAGTAGAGAACTTGAAGCCATGACCTGTGGCCCAAGACGACACGGCATCAATTGCAAGTTGAAGCCGGCGTTGAAGGAGAGGCGAATCATCACCCTGACAACAAAGGGTAAGATCATCGACATAGAGAGCGGAGAAGACACCAGAAGGAAGAGAGGAAAGAAGACCATTGAGGGCAACAAGAAAAAGAGTAGTGCTCAGAACACTACCCTGGGGCACACCTTCGTATTGCTGAAAAGAGGGAGAGAGAGCGGTACCAAGGCGCACCCGAAAGGAACGACGAGAGAGGAAGCTGCGGAGAAAGAGAGGGAGATGACCACGAAGGCCAAAAGAATGAAGTTGAGATAGGATATGATAACGCCAAGTGGTGTCGTAAGCCTTTTCTAGGTCAAAAAGGACGGCAACAACGGAGGTCTTCGCAGCAAAAGCAGTACGAATATAGACCTCCAAGTTCACCAGGACATCTGTCGTGCGGCGGCACTTGCGGAAACCAAATTGAGAAGGGAAGAGGA